CTCCTAGAATAAGTAGATACATACGGGGTATATTAGTTAATATATGAATTTAATGTCGGGACCCTGAAACTGCATCCGTCCGGATGGTGACAGAAGCCAATGAAGGGATCCGACTAGATGAGACCGTAAGAATAAAATGGTGTCTGACCGAACGAGGCCGAGAGCCCAAGACGGCGCCTGGTCGGATGGGGCCAGGAGCCTATGATGACTCCCGCCCGACATTTATTTGTGAGGTGTCTATACAACGAATAACTGTAACAACTGTCAGTCGACTACAAGAGAGTAGTTGAGCCTGGTTTGTCTGAGGATTTTCTTCCTCCCAGCCTGTAAGTGCTAGTCGGCTAGGTGTGCCATTTTGAACCATCTTTGGGGGGACTCTTCAAGATTCCATAGCCCCAAACGATGACTACAGCACCCAAGCAACGATCTATAATAATTTTTATATATATATATATATATATATACACACGCGCGCGTCATCAATGCAGGAATCTCAAGACATTTCATAGATCTCAAGACAATCTTTAGAGCAAGAAACGTTCAATCTATAATAAAAAATCATTTGGAAGTTCAATTTTAGCAAACATAAGTAAAAATGATCGACTCAACAAGACTGACCCAATGATACCAAAATTGCTCTAGTTTGAATCAAATCAAGCTTAAATCAAGTCATTAAACCACTTATGCGAGCTTTTCAGACATATTTGAAAAATCAAACGAATATCGAAACTAATAAGCTTATAGTCGTATTAGCGTCTCAGCAACACGAGTCCAATGAACCAAAGATCATTCAATTCGGACATCATTAAGACACTCAAATATCCATCAAACACTATCTAATCAAGGGAATCTCTCTGAGATGTCCGATGAGATTGATTCATATTTATTCATTAATTGCAATCGAGACTCTATAAATAAAGCCCCACCCCTGTTATGAAGGCGAGAGGAAGCTTGTGGCTTAAGGAAGAGTTTGACGCTTTGAGAATGAGCTGAAGTCCAACATCACTTCTGCCACCTTCGACCACCACTTGTCGGCCTCTGTCGATCACCATCGATCAAGATCAATCACCGCTCATTTCTTGTGACAAGTTCCTCCGTCCATCGACGTTGTAACCCGGGAGACTTTGTAACCCCCTGCCAATCGTGAAGTAAAAAATATTACTTGTAATTTATAGTTTATAGTGAATCTCTTCAACGGAACCAAACTCTGTGACTTTTTAATCTTTCTGGTTTTTCCATGTAATAACTTTTTGTGTCTCTACTGATTTTTTGTTCCATTTGAGTATGTGTTGAATTCCCACGCAATGCTAAGACGATAATTCATTACTCTACCACCACAAATCTTCTAACACACATCATATATATATATATATATATATATATATATAT